TTGGAGAAGTAATTTTTCCACAATAACGTGAAATGTATTCTGGGCTAAAATCAGGACAGCCATGTATGAGGGAGAAATAAAAGAGAAAAGATGCATATACTCTGACTCATAAAATCCGGTTTTAGCCCTTCACAACAAAGAATTGCAGACACGCACAAAGATTTATTTACAAAGCATTCACTGAAGTGACATTTCAAAAACTAAGCACTGTAGAGTAGGGGCCCAGACCTTTTCAGACTGCCAGAGAGTGCCTGAGCTGGCTGGCATGGTGGTAAATGGATGGAACTAGAGACTGTTATACTAAGTAAAGAAACAAATGTAGAAAAGCAAGGACAACTGTTCTCCCTCATTTGTGGATTGTAACAACAATCCCTTATACGTCAGTGTATATATATATGTGTGTGTGTGTGTGTGTGTGTGTGTGTGTGTGTGTGTGTGTATCCAGGAAAGTGGAACGGAAACATGCAGGTAAAGGGAAAGAAAAGCCCCAAAGAAGGGGATATTTGGGAACAGGTGTTGTGGGGTGTGGGGGTATGGAGAAAGTGGGAGTGTTTGGCTGGGAGGGGGGAGGGAAGAACATGCAGGGGACCATGGGGGTGGGAGAGGAGGAGACTCAGGAGAGAGGGGTTGAGGAGGTGGGTGTTCTCAGGGGGAGGGTGGGGATAATGGGGGCGCTTAGACTTGGGAAGGAGGCAGTTGAACCTGGAAAGAGGAGACAGATGAATGGATCATGGGTAGGTAGTATAGGAAGACAGATGGAAATGTGTTGGCTTCTGAACCCCCTGAGAAATACACATACGGTGTCTGAACATTAGTGCACGTGTATAACTGGGGCCTGTATGGCAAGGAATGTAGTGCCAGACAGAGGAGACCTCCCTTTAAGCGGTTGGTCAGACTAGTCCAAGAGACTCCCAAGGTAACATAGGCTATTCCCCAAGCCTTTGGTTATCTCACAGAACTTGAAGGTAAGACCCTATTGCTGAAGACAGGTCATAATTTGGGCACATTGGAACAATGGAGCAGGAACTGACCTGGAAGCTTTTTCATAGAAAGCTAGTTCTCAGAGTTCTACAGGCTACTATGTTAACTGCTACGGGAGAAAAATCAATCAATGATCCAATCCTGTCCTAAAGCCGAATAAACATAATGACTGGCACAGCAAACTATCTCTATGGTACAGCAGTGGCACTGTTATCTGGAGGGCAATCAACAGCTATCTAATTGGACTTAAAGCCCTCTCAGTGGGAGTGAACTCGTGGGTGGCACTGTAATTATAGCCAAATATAAATGACTGGAGAGGTCATAGATCCTAGAGAAAACCCTATCTCTGTCATAGCTCGACAAATGAAATTTCTTACCATATGCTAAATATGGATCCTTACATTTATAGACAAGAATACAGCACACCACTCATCAAAGAAGCTTCTTTTTGTAACAGATGGAGGCTACTGCATAATTCAACAACTGGTCACACAGTGCCTATACTTCTAAGAGATGCTCACCTCTAACAGACATATCTATAGTTGAACCTCTACAGCTAAGGCTCATTGAACATGGTGGAACAGGGGGTGGAGAGAATACTAGTGCATCCTTCAACTCTCAACAGCAAAGCTTCTTTATACAACAGCGTGTGAAGCACACATGAGGCCATAACTGGCTAAGTTTCAGAGAATAAGAGACTACAGGGTGTGTGTCCTTGGATAGAACTCCTTTATTAAACCTCTCTCACCCAAAGCTCAGGAATCATTGTGTAAGGGGCGGGGACAAGAGCAAAAGAGTAAGGTTTGGTCCATGAACAGAGGGAAACAGAGGCTTTCAGGCTATTGGAAGCTTCCTCTTGTGAAATTATGGCAATTGTGGCATCAAGCACAAGACCCATGCCAACTCAAGCAGACAAGGGCCCAGAGTGGTGCACGGGAAACCTGAGAGCTGCTGGAGGCTGATTACCACTGGGTAAAGGAGAGTAGACCTTCCTTAAGATTGTTAGATAGGTTGACTAGACCCCAGTGGATGAACTTGCACTGAAGGATATCCAGGTAAAATGCTTGACCAGATGGGACTTAACATGTATGGTAGAATACATGAAACCTGTTGGGGAAAAGTCTTAGTTTGATTAAGAAGTGTTGAATGAAATATAAAAAAGCTCAGTAAAATATTTTCTATAAATTAAACACTGTAAACCACCCAAGTTTCCACTAGCAAGGGGGAAATAGCTTTCAAAACTGATAGTGTACATGTGGCTATATTGGTGTGGGAAGATGTTAGCATTAGACTGCTAAATGAAAACAGTACATTAGCCAGGCATGTGGCTCATGCCTTTAATATCAGCACTTGGGAGGCACAGGCAGGTAGATCTCTGTGAGTCTGAAGCCAGCCTGGTCTACATAGAGAATTTGAGGTCAGCCAGGGTGACAGTATATTGTACACATGATAAGTAACTTCAGTGACAAATAATGTTCATTGAGATGGAGAAAAGTTTAATGTACATTGAATTAGTAAGCGACACCATTTTTTTCTAGACTGAGCTTATATATAACATTATGTGGATATCAAAGGTATAGTTCTTGAGCCGTTATTTAACATGGCAGAGGGAATGAGGGACGTTCTACATGTAGAAATAACTCACAACTAGATCAAGAAGCTAGGTCACTCAGTCAAAGTCCATGGAGACACCCAGGAATCTTGAACTTAGCAGGATGCCTCCTACTTCTCTACTGGATCAGCAGGGGTGCTCTCAAGGAGAGAGAAAACAGTTTGGCTATCTAGGCAAGGAGCATAGCAACTGAACACATAGAAACAGTTCTGACATCCATGGTGTCAATCGCTAAGGAAATGGAGAAAATGAAATCTACAGTGACATCAAGTCTCTGCTGGTGAGGCATGAAGGCTGAGCCTGGCATTGGATAATAAACCTTGCATTTTGGATGAAATGTTAGTTAGCATATTCTTTATTGCCTCAATTTCAGAAACTTTGAAGAGTGACAATTTTGGATGTACTGTCCTCTGGGATTACCTCACCTTTGAGCTCCTGGACCTCAAGTTCCATTCTCCAACCTTTACTATTTCAATACTCCATCTGCCTCAAGTATGTTCTCCCAGCCACACAAACCAGCAGTATCTTTCAGCTCTTCCCAGAAATTCATATGCATATTTTCATATATGAATTCTCTCTATATGTTTTATGTATATATGCATAACTCATATAAGTAACTGGCATCTATCACTTTGCTTGCCAAATATTATTCTAAATATTTATGAGCATTATCTTGTTATACATTTTTGCATTTATTTGCTTATTGTGAGATCGTTTCATTCATGTTACTCAGATTGGCCTCTAATTTGTTATGTAGTCAAGTTTGCTGTGTAGCCAAGACAGCATGTCACAGTACTGCCCCATCCCTTAGCTCTTACATTCTTTCTAGTACCTCTTCCCCCAGGCTCTCTGAGACTTAAACTCCCCATGCTGTTGTCCTCACCTGCCAAGTGATCAGAATATGGGCATGTGCCTCTGTGCACATTGAATGAGTGCACATTGAACCTGGTGCCAGGTTCCAGTCTAAGCTTTTGACATGATTTTCATTGCATTCTCACAGAGTGCCTCTGACTTGTCGATTGTCTCTGCTTGATGGATGAGGAAAGTGAGAGCCAGATTTGATGACATGGTTTCCCAGTATCACACTACTGAGGAATGAGAGAAAACAGCTACAACATATGCCTTCCTCCTCCTCCTCCTCCTCCTCCTCCTCCTCTTCTTCTTCTTCTTCTTCTTCTTCTTCTTCTTCTTCTTCTTCTTCTTCTTCTTCTTCTTCTTCTTCTTCTTCTTTTTGGTCTTTTTGAGATGGGGTCTTCCTGTAGCCCCAGCTGTCCTGGAACTCACTATGCAGACCAGGCTGGCCTTGAACTCACAGAGATCCACCTGCCTCTGCCTCCAGAGTGCTGGGACTACAGGCGTGCGCCACCATGCCTGGCAACATATGCCTTCTTAATACAGTCCACAGAATAAATATCAAACAAAATAAAATGAATGTCATCTCTAGTTGAGAGAGAGAGAGAGAGAGAGAGAGAGAGAGAGAGCAAACAAATAAATATTTTAAAAAATAAAAAGAGAGGGTAAGGCTGAGCTCAGTTGGTAGGGTACTTGTCTTGAATGCCTGAGGACCTGAGTTCAAACTTCAGCACAACCATAAATAAAAATAAATAAATAAGATAAACAAATGTGATAGGAAAACAAAAAGGGGGGTGTTGTAATGGGAAGAAGGAGATCAATAAGAAGGGTTTGGGGAGGAGGACAGTGGGGGAGGGGGATGGGGACAAATAAGTATTATGAAAGAGCCATAATGAAACTCTGTAGGTAAACTTTAAAACTTTAAAGTTCATAAAGATTAAACGAAATTTAATCTGTCCCCCAAACGACAGAAATATAATATTGTAATAACATTACATGTAAATTTCAACTTATTTTCCCTGAAAGTCTCTAATTAGTTTTAGATGACAATGCTTTAAAAATTATTGGAAAGTGGATTTAAGGGGGAAACCATTGGAAAATGAAGACTGGTGTTTTAGAAAAAACAAACAACAGCAACTACAAAAATTGAGACATTTGCCCCACACTCATCACAAAGAAATGAGGCTACCACAGTGGCAACACTTCCTGTCTGGGGCAGGGTCCATGCACCTTGTGAACCCGTGTTCCTGCACAAAAGCCAACGCTGTGGAACATTTCAGATTCCAGGCAAGCACTCAGTGAAAACTGAACTTTGTAAATTCAGAGAAACAAAATAAAACTAGCAAGATAGGCTTGTGAGTTGGAGTCATCTCACAAGAGGACCGAGGACACTGAGTGTCAGAACTGGACCCCGGGAGCCCACCACTGCTCCAGGCGCGGTGGGGATCCAATCAAATGTGAGTGCAGGCCCCGGGGCCAGGAGGAGGCACAGCCTTGGGGAGGGTGCTGAATGCTGGGTAGCTGAGTGTGCTGGGGCAGTGGCAGCTGGGCTGAAGAGAGAGGCTGGGCCACAGGCTCCTCCCTGATTCCTCCTCCCGCAGCACTGGGGTCGGGCTCTTAAGGCTGCGCGCTCAGCCCACCTAGGAGCTGCCCTGCCGCTGGGTGACCAAGGTGACTGTCAGCGACTGGCCAGAGGTCAGCGGTGCTGGCGGCGAGAAGCACTTGTATATCGCTCGCGTGGGTGGTACCAGTGCGTCCAGACACGGGAGTACTCCGGGGTAGCTCAGTACAGAGACAAGGTAAGAAGCCCCAGGAGAGGGCGGGGCATGATGGGCTGGAGTGTAAGGTCACCTGGCTGGTGAGGGGACACAGGGGCGGTGTCATTGGTCTGAAGGGCTGCCCGGAGCCGCAGTGTCCTTCCATTCTGACCTGGACTCGCCGTCCCTATGACCCTTGGAAACACAGCTCTAGAATTTTTGCAGGAAGCTGACGGATTCCTTCAGAGAAAGCAACCTTCAGAATTCAGTGCTAAGAGGGGTAGCGGGGTAATCCTGGAACACGTGGAAATTTCTTGTGTACAGATCGCCCTCTGGGTCGCAAGCGCGCGCACCTCCTTGAAGGACTATTGCCCAGAGTTAAGAAGCATAGAAACAAAATAATAAAAACAAAACACTACCTCCCCTGCCTGGGAGCATCCCCCTGCTGGCCAAACAAGATTATGGTGGTTCCACCCTTGATCAAAGGGAAGGAAGGCTAGCTTATATATATTCGAGAATTCATACAGTGTGTTTTTATCACAAGACCCCCTCCCTTTTCTGTACCCTCAACCTTACCCACCCCGACTTCATTTCCTCTATTATTATTTGCCTTTTTAAAAAAGGCTTATGGAGTCTAATCTGTTTCCCTCTTGGGTGTGGGTCTATCCCTTGGAGTCTGGTCATCCTACCAAATATCACATCAGAGTGGAAAACTGACTTTCCCTTTCTGAACATCTATCAGTTGCCAATAGGTCCTCAGCGAGGAAGGCTAGATTTTTTTTTTTCCCCCAAGCAAACACAGAAAACAGAGAACATTGTCTTCCTTGTCATTTTGGGAGCTTCTAATACATTTTTTTTTAAATCCCCAAACTGGAAACTGTAGACTTTTATTCAGACCCTTGTTTCTAGGAAATCAGTGTGCAGGGGATTGAGAGAGGCAGAAAAGGCATGCCTGTCTCCTGCACAGGACAGGAGCTTGTCACCTGTAAAGCGCACCGAGATTGACATTCAGGTTTGGGCGAGACATGTTACTAAATCATTCTTGCACAAATTATCTTTGACCCAAATGAGATTGCAGAGCTGGGAGACTGATGTATGAGCAGCAGCTGGAAAATGTGTCCCCCGGAGCACGGACAATCCCACCGGCTCTCAGCAAATCGTGGAGTAACACTGACAGCCTGGGTCAGGGCTCCCGGATTAAAGCAAAGAGAAGGCTTTCTGGATGCAGGGTACATTGAGCTGTGAGCACCCAGCAGATTTTCTCATTGAGGGGATTCTGGTGGCTCTAAAGAGGTTCCAGGCAGAGACAGGTTACCAGTTTAGTATCTTCAGTGTGTCAGTTTCCGCCCCTTGCAGTGGGGGTATTAAGGGTGGTTTCCCAGGCATTTGTGCACAGAACCTGCTCCTGGCACCAAGGTCTACCACTCCAGGCTGTCACTGACAGCAGAGACTCAGAGGCTGAAGGCTCAGCATACTGAGCCACTGAGTAGCAGTGAGGAGGGATGTTAATGACCTTCAGCCAATTATTAAGCAATTGAGAAAGCCGGGTGGGGTGTGAAGGGCTTGTATAGAACTCCAGGTCTCCCTCACACCCAGGCAGCTGGCTCCTCAGTTCATCTCCATTGTGATGGCACCCTGCTTAGTCAGGAGGAGCACCCACGGACCTAAACCTCACCCAGTTCTGTTTGTAGACAATACAGCTTAGCATCTTCTTTGAGACTCATCATAAAGTGTTAAGTGAAGGCCAATGAAGTACTAGAAATGAGGACCCCTGGGAAGTCCAGGTGGTGCCTAGGAGTCCCCTCTCCCTGAGACCTCAGACGAGCATTTCCTAGGAAGGAAGGTAAACATCTGATTTTTATTTTATGTATGAGTGTATTACCTGCGTGTGTGTAAGTGTACCAGTGTTGTGCAATGCCAGTAGAGGTCAGAAGAGAGCAATGGATCCCTTGAAATCTGAGTTTTGGGCAGTTGTTAGCTGCCATGTCTGTGCTGGGAACTGAAGCCAGGTCCTCTGCAAGAGCAGCCAGTGCACTTTTTAAAAATTTTATTTATAAAACTTTTACTTATTATTTTTATTTTATATGTATGAATGCATTGCCTGCATGTGTGTAAGTGTACCCTTGTCATTCAATGCCTGCAGAAGTCAGGAGACGACATCAGGTTACCCTGGTACTGGAGTTACAGGCAGTTGTTAACTGCCATGTTGATGCTGGGAATGAAACCTGGGTCCTCTGTAAGAACAATCAGTGCTCTTAACTGCTGAGCCATCTCTCCAGCCCCCAGCCAGTGCTCTTAAATGCTAAGCCATCTCTCCCAGCTCCTTATTTTTAAAAGATAGGTCACATATAGCCCAGGCTGGGTTCCAACTTGTTCTGTAGCTGAGGATAACCTTGAACATCTGCTCTTCCTGCCCTTACTTCCTGAGTGCTGGGATTACAGACATGAGATACCACACCTGGTCTGTGCAGCATTAAGGTTTGATCCCTGGACATGGGCACGTTAGGCAAGTGCTCTACCAAATGAGCTCCATCCCCATTCCTCTATCTTAAGCTGCCTTCTTTCATGAGTCATGAATATGAGCCTGACTGACCAACTGATGCTAAGAGATACAGAAATTTCCATCAAATAAAGCACTGATGAGAAAGTGCTGAGTGAAAAGCCACTGAAGAGGGAAACGTTTAGCTCTAAAGTCATGCTGTTCCAGAATTCTTGGGGAAGCTCAGTGGTCTGTGGGCATGAACGGAGGGTTCCTACCTCCTTTTCTATGATTCTATGAAGTGTCAGGCACCTGTGGCTTGCTGTCAGTCACTGTGATAAACTGCATAGGAATGACTCATAACACAGTAAGAGACACAGGTTAATATAGCCTTGTACGGTTTTCATTTTTAAAGAAACTTAGCAACTGTGAAGGAACAAGGTCACTCCAAGAACACTCATGGACTTAATTGGCTAGCTGATTCCTAATAAAAGCTGTCTTTGTTCATTCATTCATTCGTTCTTCATTCATGTGAAAACATATTTGCTGCTGGGCATGGAGGTACAGGTATAGTTCTTGAGAGGGGAAAAGCAGGATAATCTCACAAATTCAAGGAGAACCTGAGCTATGTAGGGAGTTCAAGGCCAGCTTGGGCTATATAAAAAGACTGTGCCTTGATAAAAAGATACCAAGGGCTGGGATGTAGCTCAGTGGTAGATGACTTGCCTAGCATGTATAAAGCCTGGGTTTTAGATGCTACTATGCTCTAGGACCTGAGTATAGGACAGGAAGATAGATACGCTTTCTGCTGTCAAAATCCTACAGTGTTTGCAATCACAGTGCTAAAGTGTAGATAGGCAGATCCATGGGGCTGGCTGGCCAACCAGCCTGGCCTACTTGGTGAGTTCCAGGTTCCAGTTAGAGATCCTGTCACAAAAAAGGTGGATAATATACCAGATGTTTTTCCTTTGACCTCTAAACGCCTATGCAGAAGTGTGTGTGTGTGTGTGTGTGTGTGTGTGTGTGTGTGTGTATCTATTCAGAGCACTGGAAACTTTAACTACTACCATCATATGATACTTGATAAAATACAATGACATTAAAGCTAAAATAAAAGCAGATTTAATTTTAAAAGTTGGATGTGCTCAAGTAAAATACAAAAAATTGAATATTTGATTTTGAGAATTGGAAAAAAAAAACTTCAAAAACTTTCAGAGTCCAGAATGACCCTTTTCTTGAATAGGGGTGTACAGATGTCCACCACTGCACAGATCTGTTGATGTTGGAAATCTACACATGGCAGCAGAATTCCCTGGGTGGGCTGTGGACCAGCACTGAATAGGTTTCCCTTAGTGAAGCACTCTCTCAGAAGGGACGCTGCAACTTCCCCCCGTTGGCTGCTGACTAAGTTTTAGAGAATTAGGGAAGGGTTTCGAAGTTGTTTATCACCTAGAATAGGGGTGATCTTCTCGTGACAGGACATCAAACTGCCACATGAGGCAACCCATTTCTCCTTCCTCACTTATCTTGATGTACAACTTACAAGACAGATGTATCAGTGGGGAAGATGGGCCCCTTCCCCATCTGCCTGTGTGCAGTGGAAATTTCAGCTCTTCCTGACAGCCCCTGATTGTATTCTCTTGCCAGATGTACTTAGCTATTTTTGAGTCTTTATGTCTGAAGTTGAGAACCAAGTGACCAGTGTGATGATTCAAATTGATGATAATAAGTGACATTAATTCATTTTGTGTGTACGACTGTATTGCCTGCATGTACGTAAGTACACCATGTTGTGCAATGCCCAACGAGGTCAGAAAAGGGCATTGGATTCCCCTGGAACTGGAGTCATGGATGGTTGTTAGTTGCCATGTGGGCTCTAAGAATTGAACCCAGGTCCTCTGCAGGAGCAGCTGGTTCTCTTAACTGCATGCCATCTCTCCAGCCTTCACCTTATTTTTTTAAACAAAGTTTCTTACTGAACTTGTAACTCCCTTATTTGGCTAGAATGGCCAAATACAGAATTGTTTTATAAATGTGTTAAACAAAATCACAGTGATCGCATGCCCTGGTTGTTTGACATTGTAAGAGGGATTTGTTGTAGGTGTGTGTGGGTATATACATGTATGTTGGCTCTTACACTATTGAACAAACAGTGCGTTATACTAATTTTTTGTTTGCTTATTTGGTTGGTTTGATTTTTGTTGTTGCTTTTTTGAGTCAGAGTCTTGCTATAGCAAGCTGAACTTGAACTCACAGTCTTCCTGCCTCAGCCTCCTGAGTCTGGCATTATAAGTGTTAACCACCACACTCAGGTTGAATTAAAACTTTAAAGTCTCCTCCCAACCCACCCTAAGGAACTTTTGGCAATTGATGATTGCTGGGAAGGGGAAAGTGTCTTACAGAAATGGGACTCTTGGTGTGCCCAGTGAATGGACCCATACTGAAGGACATTTGGGGACACAAATCAGAATCTATAGGCCATATTATATACATGAGAGTACATTAAATTGGGCAGGAGGCATTAAGAGGAGGTATGGAAAGGGGAGGGGATCTAAATACCATA